GGCAGGAGAATCGCTTTGAACCCGGGAGGTGGAGGCTGCAGTGAGCTGGGATCGTACCACTGCACTCCAGCCTGGGTGACAGCAAGACCCTGTCTCAAAAAAAAAAAAAAAAAAAAGACTGCCTTGGGATATTAGTATACACCTATTAGAACAGCTGAAATAATATACAGCAGTGGCAATATGGAATGCTGGGAGTAATGTAGTTCAGAGTAATCTCTCAAATAATACACAGCAGTGGCAATATGAAATGCTGGGAATAATCTGGTTTGGGGTAACTAATCTCTCCTACATTGCTGATAGGAACAGCAATAGTGCACCCACTCTGGAATACAGTTGGGCAGTTTCTTTAAAAAGTAAACAGTTTTATGACCCAGCAACTGCGCTCCTAGACATTCAGAGAAATAAACTTATGTCCACACAGAAGCCTGTACGTTACTGACCCCAAACTGGAAACAACCAAAATGTCCTCTGAGGTGGTTAAACCAACCATGGCTACCCATGCCACAGACACCACTCAGCAAGAAAAAGGAGCTGACCACTGATGTGCGCAATAACTCGGATGAAGCTCAAGGGCATTACACCAGGGAGGAAAGCATCTCCAAAGGTCTACACTGCACGAACTGTATGACTTGTCCACTTACATCACAAAATGACAGAATCACAGAGTGGTTGTGGGGGTCAGATGACTATAAAGGGGTAGACGGAGAGAGATTTTTGTGGTGACGGAACTATTCTGTATTTTGTGACCATGGTTACGTGAGTGTCCTCGTGTGATAAAACGACAGAATGAAGAAAACACTCCACCAAGCTTAGTTTCCTGGTTTTTGTATTGCACTATCCTAAGGTGTAGCCAATGGGAGAAATCGGGAAAACATTTAATTAGCCTAAGATCCAGTATTTGATAGCACAATAGGGTGAATATAGTTAATAATAGTGTATTGTATATTTTTAAATAACAAAAAGAATGGAACTGGAATGTTCCTAACAAAGAAATGGTATAGGCTTGAGGTGATGGATACCCCAGTTACTGGGAGTTGATTGTTATACATTGTACGTCTGTATTAAAACATCCAGGTACCCCATAAATATATACACCTTTTATGTACCCACAATAATTTAAAATTTTAAACATTTAATTAGCAAGCAAAATTGGACAAATGCTCAATTTAAATACAGGCAGAAACAATGAATCTAATTATATATTAAATTGATGGCACAGTGTGGGAAAAATGCTAATCTAAGTAAAATTCTTAACAGCTTTATTAAGGTACAATTTATATGCAATAAAATATACCCATGTTGTGTATGCAGTTCAGCAACTGTAGTAAATGTGCAGAGCTGTGCACCCATCACTGCAACCCAGTTTCCGGATACTTCCGTTACCTCAGAAGGATCCTTCTTGCATTCACTCCCCATCCCCTCCACCTAGCCCAACAACCACTCAGCCACCTTCTGTCTTTATGAATGTGCCTCTTCTGGACATTTCATATAAATGGGATCATATCGTATGTGGCTTTCCGGGACACCTTTTCACTTAGCGTGGTGTGTTTAAGGTCCCTCCGCACTGAGCACGTTTCCTCGTTGCACGATACTAGTGTCGGGATACACCCATTTGTCTGTCCATGCATCAGCCGATGGACCCAGAGGTGCCTTACGCGAGCCCAGCACTATTCTCCGTGCGGGGGGTCCCTGCTTTGGTCCAGCTTCATGTTTGTGTGGAGACCTTCAGAGGGCGGTAACTGATGAAAAGAAAATATGTAATCCCAGCACTTTGGGAGGCCGA